AATACAACTCCCCCCCCCCTCCAAAAAAAAAGAGTAGGGTAAACCAGCTTGTGAACCTTCCCCCCCCCCTCCAGCTTTTTGCCCTCACTGGGTTTTTTGGGTTGGCAGATCACAAAACAGCAGGGATAGTAGAAGTCAAAACTGGCGAAAGTCTTCTTCTGCAAGAGCATAGCAGCCCTCCAGACCTAGGAACCAGTGTTCCCTCTAAGCTGAGTTAGTGTGAGCTAGCTCACAGTTTTTTAGCCTCTGGCTCACACATTTTTGTCTTAGCTCAGGAAGGATGGCTCTAGAACAAACTAATTTATGCAGCAGCCAAATCTCCTGCTCACAGCTTTAATGCCAACAGCTCACAAAGTAGAATTTTTGCTCACAGGTCTCCATAGCTTAGAGGGAACATTGCTACGAACCCTCTTGGCTCTCTTTTCCTGGGTCTCAAAACTTGCCTGGCCCTGTACTTCTTGCCGATATCACATCATCCCTGGTCTTTAGATGGAGTTTTGCCCCTTCACCTTGGCCCCTGCTTTGGTCAGTCCCATGTTTTAGGTACCTGTTTATCATCCGACTGCTTACTTTGACCCAGTTCCTTGATCGTTGCCTGTCCCAGTGAATGCTAGGGCCCTGCTCTACGCACAGCATACATCTCCCCCTGCCGTCACAAGCACCGTGGATTCCCCCCCCCAAGCCACCTCTCTCTTGCATCCTCTGTTGTCTCAATTTCCCTTATGCCCTTTCCCCTAAAACTGTCATCCCGTTCACTGCCTTCCTCAGGTTCTTGTTATTCTTTTATTTCCTTTCTACCAGTGTTGGCACCCAGAGTGCTTACAAAGTCAGTTTTTTTCTCAGACATTACTGGTTGTTTTTTGATTGCTTGTTCTCTGCTGTCAAGTCGCAGCAGACTTAGGGCTACCCTATAGGCTTTTCAAGGCAAAGGATGTTCAGAGGTGGTTCACCACTGACTGCCTCCTTGTCACAACCCTGGTATCTGTCAGACTCCTGCAACAATCAGAATCAACAACTTGCTTCTTTAGAAAGGAAGTTTATTGATCAGTGTTGGCAGAACGTCACTACTTCAGGATCTGTGTTAAAACTGAGCTAAAAAGCGTGGGGTAGATAGATATACAGGGTTCAAAAGAGAGCACAAGGAGGCATAGAGCCAATCAGTGTAAAAGCGGGGCCCGCCAGAATCTAACGGTGTACAACCGGCCCCTCATTCCCAGAGGATGATGTTACAGCTAGGAACCAAGGTCAAACACATGAGCCCTACGGATAAGGGAGCATCACCCAGACAGCAAGAAATGAAAGTCACATTCCAAGGAATCCCTTCCCCCTTCACACCAGCCTTTATGGCAGTGAGCAGACATCATCCCTTGGAGGTCTCCCATCCAGATACTAACCAAGGCCATGCCCGCTTAGCTTCTGAGATCTGACGAGATTGGGCTAGCCTGGATGATCCAGGTCAGGCTCACTGTTATGGCAGAATGATAAAAGCTGATCATGTGTGTTCATTATTGCTTACGTTAATGTTTTCTCTCTACAGGGTTTGAGCAATGAAACCTCTTTGATGGAGATTTTGTCTGGTTGTATAGAATATAAACCTTTATTGGATGTGGTAGTCAATGCATTTTATATCCGTGATGGAAAACATTGCGCGTTGTCTGAACGTAATCTGTATGTTGGTAAGTGTTTAGTCTACATAATTAGAAAACCTCTGTATATGTTGTATTTTTAGTGATCATTATTTCTTGCATAATGCCAATGGACATGCAGCTACATAAGCCGCAGTGCAGAATTTTCAGCTGCTATAGCGTCAGGGCTAATAGTACTGGTAAAATGCACTTAGAATAGTAGCTACACGTGTTGTCAGTTATCAAGACAAATTATAATATGGGGGCCCCCAAAGCTTTCAGTGTTTGCATTGCATTTGCCTGTATATCCCGCTGTAAAAGAAGGATATCTGAGGCACACACAAGAATGATTCTGAATGGAGTATCGTTGTTTAACAGATCAGCGGAACCAGGTCCTGTTAAGATAGATCAAGGTGGGTAGCCGTGTTGGTCTGAAGCAGTAGAACAAAGTTAGAGTCCAATGGCACCTTTAAGACCAACGAGGTTTTATTCAAGGGGTGAGCTTTCATGTGCATGCCCACTTCGTCAGACGATGGAATTACATATCATAGCTGTATACAGGGGTCCTTTTCAGCCGGAATGAGCCGGGACGGCGTTCTGGCAGTAACAAGCCTGGAGAGAGCCCCCGCTCAATAGAAGGGTCAGCCCAGTGTGCTGCAGCAGTGAAAAAGGCAAACTCTATAGAAGGGATTAGTAGGAAAGGGATTGAGAATAAAACAGCCAATATTGTAATGCCCCTGTATGGAGCGGTGGCGCAGGCTGTAAAAGCCTGCAGTAATATATCACCGAACAGCCATAAGGCTGTTCGAGTCCCACCATGGTCGGGGTGAGCTCCCAGTCCTTGTCCCAGCTCCTGCCCACCCAGCGGTTCGAAAGCCCTTAGGCAAGTAGATAAATGGGTACCCACTCCTAGGAGCAGGGGGCACCTTCCTTCCAGTGAATTGGAGTGCAGCAGCGATGGCGGCTGAGCAGTGGCGGCGGGCGGCGAACATGGCGGCAGTCCGGCGGCAAGCAGCGAGCAACCCGGGCAGAGATTGGTCCAGGAGACGCGGCGATGAGACGATGTGGCACGATCGGAGCCAATAGGACGGAGACCAGCTGCTGCAGCCGTCGCACAGCTGCACACTATGAGGACCACTCCAGAAGGAGTCGCTGTGAGAGAGAAAGACCTTCGCCGAGACACCGTCGCCTGGAAACAGAAAGAACCCACCACGGAAAAAGAACAACATAGGAAGATCACTGCTGCTTAGGTGCCTGCTAGGCACTCACCCCTCCCTTTGCACTGTGGCCCTAGTTAGGTGATTTAAATGTTTTTGTAAACTGCTCCGAGCCCTCGGGAAGAAGCGGTATATAAGTTGAATGTGTAATGTAATGTAATATATAGTGCGGCCTCATTTGGAATACAGCGTACAGTTCTGGCATCGTATCTCAAAAAGGACATTGCAGAGCTGGAAAAAGTACAGAGGAGGGCAACCAAGATAATTAGTGGGTTGGAGCACTTTCCCTCTGAGGAAAGGCTGAAGAGTCTTGAGACTTCTCAGTTTAGAAAACAGATGACTAAGGAGAGGACATGATAGAGGTTTATAAAATTATGCACAGGATGGAGAGAGTTGACAGAGAGAAATTTTTCTCCCACTCCCCAAATACTAGAACTTGAGGGCATCCAATGAAGCTGATGGGCAGTAGGTTCAGGATGGACAAAAGGAAATAGCACTTTACACAGAGAGTGATTAAAATGTGGCATTCGGTGCCAAAGGATATAGTGATGGCCACAGGATTGAACAGCTTTCAAAGGGGATTAGATAGATTCATGGAGGACAAGTCGTTCAATGGCTACTAGCCATGGTGAGTGAGGGGAACCTCCACATTCAGAGGCACTGAACCTCTGAAGCCAAGGCCAGGAGGCAACATCTGGGGAAGACCTTGGCGTCTCTGCCCTGCTGTTGGCTGTCTAGAAGAACTGGTTGGCCACTGTGTGAGACAGGAGGCTGGACTAGATGAACTATTGGTCTGATCCAGCAGGGCTCTTCTCATGTTCTTATTCATATTGCTTTGGCCAGTATAATTCCAATTCATTTCTCTTCCTCTAGTTGTTTGCTATTTGGCTATGTTTCATCTGGAGGAGCTTGGTCTTCAGCAGTTCAGCAGAATAGTCAAGTCACTGGATGCCGCTAGGATATATAAGGTAATTAAAGTAGCTTTATTTAACTAGAATTTGAAACAAAAACATGCTACTATTATTTAAGCCATTGTTCAATTCAGGGGTCCCCCAACCTTTCTGAGCCTCTGGGCACCTTCAGAATTCTGACACGGCACGGCTGCTACAGGAAGTGGAGCCCGCCACAAAATGGCTACCACGTTAAAGAACCTTCTGATATGGCAGCAGGGAGCCAGTTTGGTGTCGTGGTTAAGTGCACGGATTCTAATTTGGGAGAACAGGGTTTGATTCCCCACGCCTCCACATGCAGCTGCTGGTGTGACCTTGGGTCAGTCACAAGTTCTCTCAGAGCTGTTCTCTCAAGGGCAGTCCTCAAAAGAGCTCTCTCAGCCCCACCTACCTAACAGGGGAGGGAAAGGGGAAGGAGTTTGTAATCCGCTCTGAGACTTAGAGTGAAGGGCAAGGTATAAATCCAATCTCCTCCTCCTCCTCCTCTTCTTCTTCTTCAAAAATCTGTACCCAGTAGCCAATCAGAAGCCTTGCTGGGCAGAAGCTCCACCTGGCCGCACCCACTCGTTATAAAGACTCAGCGGACACCAGGAAGGGTGTGTCAGCAGACTCTGTGGCGCCCATGAACATCACATTGGGGATCCCTGGTTTAATTGTTCTTTTTAGGATGGAGGACTGACCCGTCTCCTGGTCTTGGAAGCCAGGAACCACACCCCCGAAGCAGAGTGCAGTTTAGGGACAAGCTTGTTAAGCTACTGCCTAGGACTTTGCCATACAAGGAGCTTCTAAATAAGAAAAAAGAGAGGTTATCTTTGTGCTTTCATCTTTTATATTTATATTTTTGGTGTCCTTTCTGGGAGAATGATACTGAAGTATTCTTAGCATATGTCGTGATGTGGTTCACGGGGTCGTGAAGAGTCGGGCTCGACTGTGTGACAAGTACAACAAGAGGCACCCGGGAACTCCTAAACTGACGTTGCACGAGTACCTCCTCGCCATCCAGCCCAGCTTGTATTGTTCATTGTCTGCTTGGGATTCCACCATCCCAAATCTGCTGCGCTCTTGGCTGTCTCACCACTCATCCTGGACCCCAGATAGTTTATGAACAAGTTAAACAGTGCTGCCCCAGATACAGATCCCCAGGGGACTCAACTGCTGCCACCATGAATATGGTGAGCTTATCCCTACCCGTTGGTTCCTGCTGTTTAAGCATTTACCAGTCTGTAAGAGGACCAGTACTGTTGCTTTACTTTTGTGAGAGACTCTTTCAAAAGGTGTTTTGAATGTCCACGCATTCCCCTCCAAGGGGGATGGCTGTGGCTCAATGGTAGAGCCTCTGCCTGGTGTGCAGAAGGTCCCAGGTTCAATCTCCGGCATCTCCAGTTAAAAGGACCAGGCGGTGGGTGATGGGAAAGACCTCTGCCTGAGGCCCTGGAGAGCCGCTGCCGGTCTGAGTACGCAATACTGACTTTGTTGGCCGAGGATCTGGTTCAGTGTAAGGCAGTTCCATGTATTCAGTAGGCATAGAACCAGAGTGGCACGTGCATTGCCCAAAGGCTCTTACTAATACCTCCTTTTCCCTCTTCCTTTGCATTTTCACAGTGAACTGCTGGAGGGTTTTTTTAATTTATACGTGTGGGAGGGGAGGGGTCAAGGCAAAGTTGTAGCGCAGTGACTGCATTATGGCAATACAAAACAAAGGAGGTTGGGGCTAGGGATGTGCCCCAATGTCTTGGCCAGCCCAGCATTAAAATGAAGCCCAACTATAGGGAGGAACGCATTCCTTATGCAGGGAGAGTGAGGGGGAGGAGGGGATCTGCCCCAGTGCCTTGTTCAGTACTGCAAATGAGCAGTTTTTTTAAAACGTGGGTGTAGTGCTGCACTATTCTTGCACACTGCTATGCATGTACAAGTGTTGTTGTTGTTGTTTAAAGGTGGGCGGGGAATCATGATGGTGGCATGACAACAGCAGGGTGGGCTCAGAGCACACCTGATGTGAAAGGGAGACCGCAGCTGATAATGAGGGTGGGCGGAAATTACTCTTATGTTGTCTGGAATCTCAGTTGCCAGTTCAAGTTGATTAAGAGTCACACCAGCGACACGACTACCAAGGACCACTCCTTCTTCTGGACATGAGAGTTCTAGCAGTCAGTGTCAGGATATTAGTGGAACTCTGTCCAGCCACCACGTAGTAAAAACTCCTTGGAGGAGAAGGGGCAGAGCAGGTAGGAATCCCTCTGCCCCGGTGGCACCATTCCCTTCCCAGGCTCTTCCTCTTCTTGCCCAGGAGGCGTCTTCAGGCCCATAGCCACGGTGGTGCAAAAGGGGGCTGGGCCTCATCAATCCCTTGTCGCGCCCCTCCAATTGACACGAGCGGGTCGGTGTGAAATCTTTCACAAGTCTTTCGAGTGTGGATTCTCTATGTAAATAAAAGGGAGTCGAGGTTAAAAGGTGTGAATCGTGTCTTAAATCTTCCAGCAGCCAATTCTCTATGCAGCTGGCTAGAACAGAGTTAGCAGCTAGCAGGGCTGAAGACTCTTGACTGTAAAAGCCTGTAAAGTGTGTGTGTGTGTGTGTGTGTAAAATCACATGTGTGTGCGGGCAGGAGAGAGAGAGATCCAATTAGATCTTTACCTGATGTGAAAGGGAGACCGCAGCTGATAATGTGGGTGGGCGGAAATTACTCTTATGTTGTCTGGAATCTCAGTCGCCAGTCCAAGTTGACCAACAGTCACACCAGCGACACAACTACCAAGGACCACTCCTTCTTCTGCTGTGGCATCAGGCTTCTGGACATGAGAGTTCCAGCAGTCAGTGTCGGGATGTTAGTGGAACTCTGTCCAGCCACAATTTTCCTTTGTTGTAGTACAAACTTCTTGGAGGAGAAGGGGCAGAGCAGGTAGGAATCCCTCTGCCCCGGTGGCACCATTCCCTTCCCAGGCTCTTCCTCTTCTTGCCCAGGAGGCGTCTTCAGGCCCATAGCCACGGTGGTGCAAAAGGGGGCTGGGCCTCATCAATCCCTTGTCGCGCCCCTCCAATTGACACGAGCGGGTCGGTGTGAAATCTTTCACAAGTCTTTCGAGTGTGGATTCTCTATGTAAATAAAAGGGAGTCGAGGTTAAAAGGTGTGAATCGTGTCTTAAATCTTCCAGCAGCCAATTCTCTATGCAGCTGGCTAGAACAGAGTTAGCAGCTAGCAGGGCTGAAGACTCTTGACTGTAAAAGCCTGTAAAGTGTGTGTGTGTGTGTGTGTGTAAAATCACGTGTGTGCGCGGGCGGGAGAGAGAGAGATCCAATTAGATCTTTAATTCTATTTGATTACATTTTTATATACTATGTAATCCATCTTGAGTCTCGAGGGGAAAACTGGCAAATAAATAATAAATTATAAATAAATGAGAAAAGAAATAATGGTGGGCTGACTTTTTAACTTTCGATTCCTTCCAGACCTGTTTCCTTTACCCTTGCTTGTCATGTTAAATTCCTGGGGTGGGGGGAGTGAGTGTTATTGGGGTGCCTGGGAGTAGGTGCGGTAACAATCTTGACGCGCGCCCCAAGTGTCTCATTCCCGTGAGACTGGCCTTAGAGATCTCTATGCCAGCCTAGGTTAGGATAGGGCGGGGTAAAAATGCCTAAATAAATAAATATATATATCGGTCCATGTTGCCACAGAAATGCTAGGGGGTAGGCATGACGTGGTTGTGAATGGCATTTTTTGGTTTTACCTATAACCTGTATGTTCCCGGTTTTTCTTCAGTCCTAACAAAAGCTCTTGAACCCACAGCAGTCATATCTCTAATAAAGCATTACACTGCCAATAGTGTGTGCGGAGAGTGAATTAGCTGGGGACCTGGCACCGCCACCCCTCTAAAATTTTTCTGGCTGGAGGAGACGGGGCAGAGTGTCCGGGTTCGATAGTCAGATCACACCACACAGCACTTCATAAGAAGAATTCTGTTTATTGGTAGTTCATAACTATGACACGTGAACATCTTTTGTCAGGAATGACCCAAAGCCGCAGGGCACCTTGAATTATACTAGTTTCAAAACACCCCCGTTACAAGCAGAAGCCATTACGCACTGTGCGTGCAGGTGGGGAAAAGACAGTGGGCAAAGTAGAAGCCGTTTGTTCCCAGCGAGTCAGGAGCAGCTGGAACATCCAAGGTCAGAAAAGCAAAAGCAGATAAACCCCAGACAGTAGACTTCGTTAGTGTACCAGGCAGAGGCGAGGATTCCCTCACACACACATTCCAGAGAATGGCAGCGCTAACTGACACAGAGCAAGCGGTAACTGCTTTGCCCTTGATGAAAGCAGTCTCCCCCCCTCCCCCAGGGCATTTTTCTTTCTCCGTATTTTTATCATCTTCTGCAGGATTTTGGAGAATTTTTCCCCCTTTGAGCTCAAACCCTGATCTGGCTAACTTGTACATTCAGACACGAAGCGATCATCAACATTCAGAGGCGGCCGGGCCTCTCGGCTGCAGTCATTGCAGTTGTACTTCTCACTCAGCTTTGAACGAAGCCCCTGCCGTGCTGGTTCCACCGCAGCTTCACCTCGTTGCTCTCTCCCCCGGGATAGCTAGTTTGCCATAGCTAGTTTGCAGGAGTCTGAGATGAGGGTACATGCCTTTTACTCCCTCATCTCCCCCCCCCCGCCACAGCTGACTATAACAACAGATGTCTCCAGGTGAGGAGATATACTGTCAGTCAGTCTGATTGCAGAGATACCACGCCCTGGTGGTGTTTTTTTAACGCCGTTGGACATGCCACCTCATTTACATCTTTTTGCCTGTTCCACTCATCACCCGTGTGGTCAACGAAATAGCCCAGAACGATATAGACTGCATTCCACTCCCTTCCTTCTCAGCCAGGGGTCATTTTGTAGAAAAAAAGGTGCAGGAGCTCATTAGCATAACTCATTAGCATAACTTATTTGCATATGCCACACACCCTGACATCACCGGAAGTGTGTCAGAAGGCAACACCCACCGCTCAGGCTCCATGGGACTGTTTTGGATTGCTAGCAGATCTGCCCTCACAGAGGAGGGAGAGCTTGTACCGGAATAAAACTTGGTCTTAAAGGTGCCACTGGACTGTTTTGGACTGGGGGCCGGGGGTGGGGGCTCTGCAGCTTACCTGGCTGCTTCTTGCTCTGACTGAGGGCTGCTGGGAGCAGGGGGTGGGGCTTGTTGCCTGTGCCCGCCCCCTGGGCTCTTTACTGTCGGAGCTCCGCTCCTGTGCGCTCCTGCAGGAAATGACCCCTGCTGTAAACCATATTGGTTTACAAACATTCGTCCATTTGCCTAGGGCTCCTCATTCCCCAAAGTATACGAGCTCTCATTACATAATCATGGCATAATTCTACATGCAGAAGTGCCCACGTTGAATCTGGTTGCATGGAAATTGCTTGATAATTACCTCCCACCAGTAGAAGCAAAAAAAGAGTTGGGTTTTATACCCCTCTTTTCTTTACCCTAAGGCAGGGGTGGCCAAACTCGCTTAACATAAGAGCCACACAGAATAAACGTCAGATGTTTGAGAGCCGCATGACGTGAACAAATATCACAGACATGTTTGTATTGAATAATGTGCACATTTGCTTTTTATTAACATTAAATGAGACCGCCAAAAAAACAAAACAAAATGGGATAAAAATAGATATTGGTAATGATATTTATGTGTCCAGTAATATCTGTAGGCTGGGGAGGGGTCTTGGAGAACGCATTTCTAGCTAAAGTTGCTTTCTTTCTCTGCTCCCCCCCTCCTCGCCTCAAGCCTACCCAGGAAGGGGAACCCTGGCTGGGGAAGGGAAGACCGATGGGGGAGGCACGCCTCCGCTTCGCTTCCCCAGCTGCCCTGCCGGGAGCCACACAATAGGTGCGAAAGAGCCGCATGTGGCTCCCGAGCCGCAGTTGGGCCACCCCTGCCCTAAGGAGTCTCAAAGTGGCTTACAATCGCCTTCCCTTCCTCTCTCCACAACAGGCACCTTGTGAGGTAGGTGGGGCTGAGAGAGCTCTGAAGGAACTGGGACCGGCCCAAGGTCACCCAGCAGGCTTCATAGGGAGGGGGAGGGGGGAATCAAACCCAGTTCTCCAGATTAGAGTCCGCCGCTCCTAACCCCTGCGCCACGCTGGCGTAGTTCTGATGGAGGCAGCCCCGGGTGCGAGAAAAGCTTTTGCCGGGTGCTTCTACGATAAAACACTTTTGTATGTTTGGTTTACCCTGTTTTCAGGGGTGGGTTTTTCTCCCGTGCCCATCACCTCAGCCCTAAAGTGGCCACCCCATTAATATTCTCTCGGTCTGAAATATTATTTCCTGAGAGACATCCTAGCTGTGGCCTATAGGGCCATTGACCAGCTGGTTCATGTAGCAGCAGTGACTGAGTAGAAGAATGATAAAGCACTGCATTACCAGCTTAGAAGAAGAGAAGAAGAAGATTGGATTTCTACCAGCAACTTACAAACTCCTTTCCCTTCCCCTCCCCACAACAGACACCCTGTGAGGTAGGTTGGGCTGAGAGCTCTCGCGACAACTGCCCTTGAGAGAACAGCTCTGACAGAACTTGGGACTGACCCACAACTATGGCAGCTGCACGAGGAGGAGGAGTGGGGAACCAAACCTGATTCTCCCAGATCAGAGTCCACACACTTAACCACTACACCAAACTGGCTCTCTTAGAAAAATAGAAAAACAAGTAGAAAAGAATCGGTATCCTATTGAACTGAAAGGAGGATGAGGAGGAGATTGGATTTATACCCCACCGTTCACTACCCAAGGGAGTCTCAGAGCAGCTTACAAACTCCTTTCCCTTCCCCTCCCCACAACAGACACCCTGTGAGTTAGGTCTTTATGTTTGATAATGTCATGTTCCAGAGTCTCAAAAAGCACTGAGAGATCCAGATGTATGAAACCTTTTTAAAATTTCTTTGTCACTGTCCAAGTAAATGTTGTCCCTCTTACTATTATCCATTCTTGATTAATGCTGCGCTGCATCATTCTTACACGACAACCAGTAATCACAACATAATTTGAGTGTTTTCTGGTCATGTTTGTGCATTGACAATACAAGTGCAAAATATGATCAACTGTTGAAGGCAACTACTGCTTTATCTGAATCTATGGAAATTAAATCATCAGTTCCTTACCATTCAAACTGTGTCTAGTTTCTCAGGTTCTTTTTCAACGTCGTGAATCTGAGCACATGGATAAAAGATGAGTGGAGCCAAATATATGATTCTGCTTATGTGACAACCAATTGGATGGAACCACTGCTAAGGTAAGTGATAATATGCATTACATTTTTAGCAACTGGACAAAATTCACCATCGTAGCTCAACATTGCAGCTACTGAAATGGCTGTAAAGGTAAAGGTTTCCCTTGCTCGAAAGCCAGTCGAATCCAACTCTAGAGTGCGGTGCTCATTTCCATTTCGAAGCCGAAGAGCCAGCGCTGTCCAAAGACGTTTCCGAGGTCATGTGGCCGGCATGACTAGACGCCGATGCTCATGGAACGCTGTTACCTTCCCATCAAAGCGGTATTTTATCTACTTGCAGTTTCTTGCTTTCGAACTGCTAGGTTGGTAGGAGCTGGAACTAGAGATGGGAGCTCACTCCGTCACGCGGCTCACTCCGGTCTCGAACGGCTGAGCTACATACCTTCCGGTCTGCAGCTCAGCGTCTTAACCACTGAGCCATCGCAGCCCCCCAAATGGCTGTACTCATTGCCATATTAACTCTAGTGTGGCGGCAATTTCAATAAAACAGTTCATAAGATATAGTCCATTTCTTCAGATACTACAAGCACTCTGTAAAGAACATCACATCAAGGAGAAGAAGAGATTGGATTTATTCCCCGCCCTTCACTACCCGGAGGAGTCTCAGAGCGGCTTACATTCTCTTTTCCCTTCCCCTCCCCACAGCAGACACCCTGGGAGGTAGCCGGGGCTGAGAGAGCTCTCACGAGAACTGCCCTTGAGAGAACAGCTCTGAAAGAACTTGTGACTGACCCAAGGTCACGCCAGCAGCTGCATGTGGAGGAGTGGGGAATCAAACCCAGTTCTCCCAGATTAGAGTCCGTGCTCTTAACCACTACACCAAACTGGCTCTCAAAAGTTCTACTGGATTTATACAATAGATCACTATAAGCCAGTGGTCAACCAACTAAATTTGCCAGTGGGCTTATTTAGTGCCAGTCATCGATTTGAGGGGCCCATCTTCACACTCATAATCCTTGCCAGTGCACTGCCAGTATCACCAACATCACTCACTCGAGTTTTAATCATATATTAGATTCTTATCCTGCCCGTCCTACTACCTTATACTGAAGAGATAGGATTTACACCCTGCCTTTCGCTACCCGGAGGAGACTCAGAGCGGCTGACAAACTCCTTCCCCTCCCCCTCCCCACAACAGACACCCTGCGAGGTAGGTGGGGCTGAGAGAGCTCTTTCGAGGACGGCTCCATGAGAGAACAGCTCTGACAGAACTTGGGACTGACCCAAGGTCACGCCAGCAGCTGCATGTGGGGGAGTGGGGAATCCAACCTGGTTCTCCCAGATTAGAGTCTGCTCTCCTAACCACTACACCAGACTGGCTCTCAGTTTATGCTACTTTCAACCAAAGTCAGTGGTTTATTAGAAAAGCATCTGGGAAATAAAACAAAAATAAGACTATCTGTTTTTTTCCCCCTTAAAGATGGCAACCAAAAGTGCAACAGCTTATTGACGAACTTGATGATAAATTAGCAAATGATATGTCTTCATCATCAAAGATAACCGAGCCGAAGGATTTTCACTTGACGGTCCCTAATCCACGACCTGTACTGATCCCTGAGCTAATCACACAAACAAAGTGCACTAAGCATGTGAGTGGTATCTAAATCTTTTTACAAAGTAGTCTATAATTTGGTTTGTCTGATTTGACAGTATCTGAATCCAAGATTATTGTAATCGGTAAACCTCAGTTGTTTCATATTAGTGACTGAAAATTAACCTTGTTTTTAAAAAGTCAAGCGATGCTCCCTCTTAGCTGTGGAGTCTTGTGAGCAACAATTCTACTTTGTGAGCTCCTGGCATGAAAGTTGTGAGCCAGCGATTTGGCTGCTGCATAAATTAGTTTGCTCTGGAGCCCTCCTTCCTGAGCTGAGACAAAAATGTGTGAGCTGGAGGCTAAAAAACTGTGAGCAAGCTCACACTCAAGCTTGGAGGGGACACTGCAAGCAATTATCCCGGTGTCCTCTTCAGTAGTTTTTAACACAAATGAACCTGCTTTGTAAAGAAAATATTCCCCTTGGGTTGAATCCTAATTCCTGTGAACGGAAGGAATCCACAAAGCAGGTCGTGGGGGTGGGGGTGGGGGGTAAAGGAATATCACCGAGGAAAGAATTCCAGAATTAGAGGCAGGGAACAGATCTTTCCCAGTTTCTGTTAAGATGGCTTTCTGATCCTAGGGGTGCCAGGTCCCTGCGCGGTGTGGTGGGGGTGCCTCACCAGGAACTGCAGGGACGTCCAGGCAGCATAGTTGGTGAATTTGCAAGATAGCCCCACATTGGGTAATCTCTATGATTCCTGTGCTGCATTGACATAATTGCTAATGGCAAAGCGTTATATTGTACTGGAGTGAAAGCTCTCCCTTTCTCACAGTACAAGAACTCATGGGCACCCAATGAAATTGCTGAGCAGTCGGGTTAGAACAGATAAAAGGAAGTACTTCTTCACCCAAAGAGTGATTAACACATGGAATTCACTGCCACAGGAGGTGATGGCAGCCACAAGCATGGACGGCCTCAAGAGGGAATTGGATAGGCATATGGAGCAGAGGTCCATCAGTGGCTGTTAGCCACAAGGCATAGACAGGAGCTCTCAGGCTGGGGCCAGGGATGCTCTGTATTCTTGGTGCTTGGGGGGGGGGCAACAGTGGGAGGGTTTCTAGTGTCCTCCTGGCCCCACTGCTGGACCTCCTGACGCCCCCTGGTATTTTTGGCCCCTGTGTGACCCGGAGTGTTGGATCAGATGGGCCATTGGCCTGATCCAACAATTGGCTTCTCTTATGTTCTTATATTTTGGGATACTTGGTGCTGGAAAGTGCCATTAATTTGCAGCCAATTTAGGGTGACCCTGTAGGGTTTTCAAACCAGAAGACGAACAGAGGTGGTTTGCTCATTGCCTGCCTCTGCATAGGAACCCTGGACTTCCTCGGTGGTCTCCCATCCAAGGGCTAACCAGGGCTGGCCCTGCTTAGCTTCCAGGATCCAATGAGACTGGGATCGCCTGGGCCATCCAGGTCAGGGCTTTAAGGTATTCCGAGTTCAAAGGTATGCAAGCCATACATGTTTTGGTAAGCCGTATCACAAAACTAGAGCTTGACTAATGCCTGGACTTTCTCTACACCGAGAGCCGGCGTGGTGTAGCGGTTAACTGCAGAAGAGGTACCTTCTAATGCTGTTCTCAAGTTATGTGCGAGAATATAAGGAAGGAAGTCCTCCTTCAAGTATCGTAAGCTGTCAGGAGATAACGTGTCCTGGTGCCCAGCCGTTTGGTGGTAGTGGGAAAGGGCTGTCAAGTCGCAGCCGAACGATGGTGTGACCCTGAAGAGTTTTCAAGTCAGGAGATGTTCAGAGGCGGTTTGCCATTGCCTGCCTCTGCATAGCAACCCTGGACTTCCTTCACTGTCAAGTAAACTAAAGAAGGGACCACAGCTACAGGCTCAAACTATCAAACAAAGAAACACTGTGATAAAATTGACAATATTTAACGATTCTTATGCACATGTCTATCTATTAAGACTTTTACATTGCTTAGGAAATTCTGACATTTTCAAGGGAAAGTCCAATATCATCATATCCTCAATGAGCGCCCAGTTGACCACTCATTTCACGAATCTTCCTCAGGAGTAAACCGATAAGGTTGGAAAGTGTCAGCCTCTTTATACAGCTTAACTTCTTTTTGATGCAGTTTAACCTCTTTTTTTACTTTCTTCAAATTATTGCAGCTTAACTTCTTTTTCATATTATCTTCCAGTTCCATTGCAAGTGCTTGAATTAGGAGCAAGCCAATTCATTCATTTCTAGTAGTAGCAACCAGTGTTCAGCTTCAGGCCTTATTAATTAGTTCACTGTCACTATAAACCTGTGTAATGTCTATTTGCTAAGGCGGGGGGGGGGGGGGGACGCTGGGTTAC